CGAGTCGACCTACGTTCCCGCTCGGCGAGCCTCGACGCGGCGCAGGAAGCCGTGACGGCTGGTGCTGCACACCGCCATCGCAGCGTGTTGAAAAGGCGCTCTTGTCGCCACCGCGGTGGTGATCGAGCGCGTCGCGCACACGATAAAACGTGCGTACGCGATGGTGGTGAGCTCGGTCGAGGGTGGTGGGCCGAAAACGCGAGTAGGTACGGCCGCGCGGGGCCACGGCGAGCTCCGCGCAGAAATCGCGCGCTTCGCACAAATCGCAGAAATCGACGGTGTGACAGCCCAAGTCCCAACACCACCCGAGGACCACCACCACCCGTGTCCCATCTCCCTCTCTCTCTCTCGTCTCTCTCGTCTCTCTCCCTCTCTCCCTCTCTCTCTCATCTCTCTCCCTCTCTCCCTCTCTCTCTCGTCTCTCTCTCGTCTCTCTCGTCTCTCTCTCTCTCTCTCTCTCTCTCTCTTAATGATCGGGTATTAATTATTAATTATTAATCATTGAGCGGCGGCGCGGCGCTGCGGCGGGCGGCGCGAGGCGGCGGCGCGGCGAGGCAGCGGGCGACGCAGGGCGGCGCGAGGGTGAGTTGAACAGGGGTTGTGCGCCAAGCCCTCCTGCTCGGCTCCAGCGAGTAGACAAGTGTTACCATCAACAGAGGAGAAGGATATGACCTCAGGGCTGATGTGACCAAGCGCTGGTAGCGTGGTTTTACCTCACACCCATGGTCTCACAGTGTGCCGGCAGTCGCCGAGCAGTGTCGCTCACACAAGCCGCAGCACAAGTGACTGAGGGCCAGTGAGGGCGAGCCCATCGCTGTCACAGCTGTGGCAGCCGCACAGTGTAGGCTGTGTCAGCTGTGCAGAGTGTGTGAGCAGCAGAGGAGCTGCTCTCCAGGCTTCTGTCGCAAAGAGCTGCATGCCACCGAAAGCGCTGTCGAGGTTCGCCGAGCGCGGCGCAGGTTGGAGGACTCTGGGCCGGCGCGGGGCCCCCCGGAGGCACCGTGCGCCGCGCCGCAGTGCGGAAACGGGGCCCCGGCTCCGCTAGTCTCCGCTAGCACCGACTTCCCGATTAAGTACGGTTAATCAGAGGGCAGATTTGGAGAGATCTCGAGGAGTACATACAGATAGACCCTCCAACCATCAGAAAACTCCGACCTGATCGGTCGTACTGACCGCCGACAGATCACTCCAGACAGCAGACAGGCCGACGCCTGCACGCGGCCGGCCGGGCGAGAGGCTTGACACGATCCGACCCTGCGACCCTGACGCTGCTGCTCTAGCTATCAGCCATGCACTGCTGACTGCTGCCACAATGTGCGACCTGTGCTGGCCCACTTGGCGGCCTTCCCGGTCAGTGGTGAGGCGCAGTTCAGAGCTGTCGATGGCGCGATGCCGCACTGGTCCCACATTGGTGACACGATACCACCAAGCTTGCCGGTCCAAGAGAGAGGCACCGGCGCTGTCCTGAGAAGGTGCGTGGTCCCTCTTGACTGCCCATGCGCGCGAGGCTGTGTAGGCATAGCCTCGAGAGTGCCAGCAGCCAATCCGAGGTGACGCGCATTGCGCCAGAAGCGTGCACATGATGGAAGGACACCTTCCTACTGGCCGTACGATCAGGTCGTCACTGAATGCTTGATACTAAGGCCGCGAGCTATGCAGGTGATCAATTGTGCTTCATGGCACGGTCAGCTGCGCCGACAGGCTGTAGCAAGGCGTGATAGCATGGCCGCAAGTACGCCGAATTCCCATGAAAACAAGTAAAAAAACGCCAAAAAAGAAAACAATCCGAAAAAATCGGCGCCTGCGGCGGGCCATGGGACCCCATCTCCCCCCCGCATGGACACCCTCTGGGGCCCCCGCGCCGGCCCAGAGTTGGAGGACACCGTCACCGACGAGCGCGTTGGACTTTTCACTCCGGACAAGGACGGGGACACAGCGGACGGTGCGGGGTGTGTCCCCGTCTAGCGGCGAGGCGCGGGACCGTCTGTGGCGAAGTGGGTCGCTTCCTCCGATATTGTTCAACCCAGCATCCACACTGTTAGAGGGCCCACAGCGTCCCAATCTAAAATCTGAGGATTCAGGATCAGGCATCGCTTCAGTGGGGCCAAAGTGAGTTTATGGATGTGTGAGAACGGTACGGGACACGAGGAGGCACGCGGACCAACTCGTCGGCGACTCTGCTGCACGGCGTTTCAGAATTTTTCTCAGCGTGAGCGAGACGTGGAAGAGTGCCACCGTCGGGTAGGACGGGTCGGCCCGGAGCATCAGAGTAGCCGTCGTGGTCGCGGCGAGCAGCGCCGGCCACTCCGGCGCCGCGTCGGCAACATGGGAGCATGTCCACCGCCACTTCGCGGTCGCAGTGCTGTTTTGTCGCCAAACGCCGCATGTACCTCTGGCGGGCCAAAGATCGACTCGCATGTCGATTTCGACTTGACGGCGGCATGGAGGCATCACGTCTCCATGCCGCCGTCAAGTCGGAGCCAGTCTGCGGCGATCACAGCGCTCGCAGGAGGTACATGCGAGCTTTTCCGAGTCAAGCGATTGCGCGAAATCCCACAGTGGTGGATTTTGGTGCGCTGTGCACCCCCTATACCACACCCTTTATCACCTGCTGCGCCGTGTGGATCTCCTTCGTGTCGCAGAATAAGAACACTCGAGCCACGAGCGCGCC